CCCTTTTCATGTATGTCGTTCAGATATGGCTGTCTTAACTTTTTGTATCTTCTTGTTCTTGACCAAGCAAATATTTATTGTGCGGTAAAGATCAATAAAAGTTAGTTGAGAGTCAGCGCTGTGTCTCTGACCTTCTACTTCTCCTCTGCCGCGCTGTTTTAAACGTTTTAATTGTGACGTACCAACTAGCCCAAGCATCAAATTTAGCCTTTTCGTTCGTTTACGACCCCTCACAATTCGCTTATTACCGCTTTCCTGTCTGTCATTACCCCTTTTTATTCGTTCGTGACTACCTTTGAATCGTTTACGACCCGTCGTTTTTAATATTTTTTCAGCCCCTTTACCACTCGTGAAAAGAACCACATCGATCGCCGGAGCGGCAACTGTGCTGGGCCGCAGTTTGAAAGCATTGCATGTTTTCAAAATACCCCGTAGAAGTACGACTTACGGGACGGAAAATTAAAAAATTGCTTCAAATTGGGTGGCAAAAAAAAAAAAAGAAACGGGCACCGATTTTCATTTTCGTGACGCTGGAACACTTACATGCTCCAGGCATCCCCGGCCGGGGTGTTTACTGCGTCCTAAAAAGTGGACCCTCGATTTCCACCTGATCATGTCGTAGACGTTTTATGTTGTCGCCCTTCGCGATCCTGGCGGTTTAAAAGCCGCTTTGTCAAATGTGACCAACGACTTTTCTGCTGCAGGTCGCCCTCCAGCTCGGCAATAAAGGGAAGCTTCGACAGCCAGAAGATGGAACGCCGCGACGACAGCGACACACGCGTTCTCTCTCGTCCTTTCTTCTTTCTCCCAAAACTCCTACACCCAACCACTAGGATCGTGACACTCGGCAGCGTGACATTGAGGCTGTGTTCCAAATCTCACCCAAATGGATCCGAGTCACTCCGGCGGGTAGTGTCACGTGACAACACCGATTGAAAAGTGCTGGACGCGGGTAGGTTTTGGAACGCCAAGGTACAGAACCCTTACGCTAGAGTAAGATCCAGTAAATTTTGGAACATGGCCAAAGAGTCTAGATTGTAGAGAGGGCCCATCTGAAACCATAGGGAGTGTTTGCAATTTAATGGTGGACGCCTCCCGCGTCGAATGGTCGCAAGTGCGCATGCTCTGCGTTGTAACTTGGCGATGAAGAAAGCAGGCGGAAAGGCAGAGACGCTCGCAGACAATTGACGGGTTTGTCACCACCTGCGGCTCGTATATGCATAAACGTATTACACTAACAACAAGCGCATATCTTCACCTCCAAGCACATGGACATATCTGCTGTTATACGAACTACCAGTCAAGTATTGGGGGGGGGGGGGGGGGGGGGGGGGGGGGGGTTCTGTTTGATCACCACATCACTTGGAACGAACATTTACAAAAGCACATGGGATGTGAATTTTAAAGGGACCATTTTTGTCTCATTAGGAAAATCCAATATGCGGTATGGAATTGCGGTATATGGGAATCGTACAGGTTACAAAAAGCAGGGGATCGATATAATTTTAAAACATGTTGTAAATAACATTTTTACAGCTCAGCTTAGGACAACTTAAAAATTGCAAAATAAATATTATTGCACCACATATACTATCACTTAATCATTTTTATAAGTACGTGACACTAACTAACAAATACTAATAAACAACTTTAAATTTAAAGTAAAACAAAAGATATCTGTGGCGTACTGACAGATTTATAATTCCTAAAGTATTTACGAATTACGGTAAAAAAGAAAGACGGCAGTCCCTATCCTCATTATTTAACACTTGATCAGTCCTCGTTTCATTTATAATCCATTCTACTAAAAAAATGTACGTGAAGAGATTCATATGTTTGGCACAGTAATCCCCCCCCCCCCCCCTTATGTCACTTCAAAATAGTCATTTTGTTAGATTATGAATTTATGATCTGTTTTGCTTATACTTTTTTACACAATATTGCATAAAGATTTATAGTTGTTCGTTAACTGCTTGGTGCCAAATACACGCAAATGCTTTCGTGGGCCAGCACGTTTCTGTATATATTTTGATGTTCAATAAAATTATGAGTATTATAATTATTATTGCGAACGTGCCAAACAAACCCCGTGGCTTCGATCGTGCAGTTGGACACTCTCTGTAATGCAGGCTCTCTATCGTGAAAGTTTTTTTTTTTTTTTTGCGACATCATTTTTTGTTATTTTGGGATCATTTTTGAATGCACGGGCGAAAGGACGCTAAACGTACAAATGAAAGCAGAATTTCAGGTCCGTACACATGTACTAAGAGAATTCCTTCCTCATTTCCAATGTCTACACACTAAATCTTCTAACGAGAGCAATATAAGAACTTGTCTCGCGTCACTGCAGCCATACAGTGCCATCGTCTGCTAGGCTTAGTGGGACAAACTCCGGCCAGATTTAGTGGCGCTCCACCATGCCTCACAAGGTCAGTCACGTGACCGGTGCCACTACGGGTCGGGTAACCACGCGACGTGCGTCGAACCAGATCGCGTGACCCCACGGTTTCATAACGGGGACTCGCGTGACACCGGGTCACCTGACTCACGGTGCCAAGTCGTGGTGTCATACGACGTCGCGGTGTCGTCTAAGTTAATACGTCGGGTAGTGTTTGGTATCAAGTGGTATAACATGATGTCGTGGCGTGCGGTGTCACCTAGGTTATTACATCGAGTGATGTTTGGTGATAAGTGACGTAACATGACCACGTCACGTGATTTCATACGTGGTAACGCAGTGCAACGCGACATCCCGTCACAAGACTCCACGACTTCACGAGACGACGTCACGTTTCGTGACGACGCAGTGCCACATTACACTGCCACGTGACGCAACATGACGTGACACGACTTGGCAATTTAAATCACGGTGTCACGTGAGATTGCGCTGCTCAAGGCGACGTAGTGTGGCACCACAACTTGGCACATTGACGTAACAGCGCCACGTTGCAATTCACTTGACACTGTCGTTTCACAACCTTACTTTTTTTTTCACCTACTATAGAAATATGCGTGATGTATAATGTTAAATTGGGTTGCAGCCCACGCGCCGGCCGTTCATAAGATAGTTTTTTTTTTTTTAATCAATGTCATTGCTACTTATGGTGCGACACAATTTAAGTAACTATTGCCACAAGTCGCGTTCTTGGTTGATACCAAGTATATCTGTTTCTGTAATTGCACTTGTGACGTTTGTAGATTTGTCTAATTGTTTATGCACACCTAATTTTGATACATTCTGTTGTGTCTACTTGCTACTCACCCCCCACGGCATACCTCAATCGCGGCTCTTAAAGTATTTAAAGAAGTTGGCTACGCTTCTGAGTTGGGGTCACCCTCTGGTACATGGCCAACGTTTTGGGACATTCCTAAAACGTTTCCGAGCTTTGAAGGGCCGTAAAATAATATCTGTATGCGTCCAAAGGTTTAATTACTGCTTAGTAATATTTTATGGCAGTTATATTAAATATTTTTGGAGAACACTGCGATGTTTGCTGTTGTCTAGTGGAAATTCTCATTCCAGTGCATTTAGCAGAGAAACACGGAGAAAGGGGTGTTCAAGAAGGTTCGGGATGGTGGAAGTTGTTCCTTGTTATCATTTTTATTATGTCGCGAAGAGGGTGTCAACAAATCTGTAAAAGTGACGATGTGCAATAAGATCATTAGTTGTGTTTTGAGACGGTGTGCGTGTTTGTATTCGTTATTTTCTTCATTTTTTTTTTCCAGTCTCGACTTCTTAGTTATGGAGGTAATTGAACAACTCGCCTGCGTATTTTCACTTTTATATCGAAAGGGTCCATGAAACAATTCTTTTTTACTTTCGCAAAATACTACTTAGAATCACTTGCTAACTTTAATAACTGTATAAACTTGCCTTAGGTCGTCTTTCTGGGGTATGTCAAATTCGAGAAATATGAACATCGTTCGTCCCCTCAACTCGGAGCCAAAACAAGCGGCCACTTGGCTTGGTGCCTATCCTTTGCCGCCAACATTAATCATAGCCACGCTCTGGAGATGACAAACTAGAAAACCCATGCTGAGTACGCCTCTGCAAAGTCATGAACATTCCAACCCTATATTCTTTCATAACCCCTTTTAAAGAAATAGCGGCTGGAGGGTGGTCCAGGTGAGGCTTCCCCTCACAAAGACTGTACCCGCCGTGAAGCTACCTTCTGGGAAACCTCCGTTCATCCTCAAAAACAAACTTGCGCGAAAGCGTATGCGCCGAGAAAGTGCGGGAGACGAGGAGACGTGAGAAGGCGGGAACGTCAGAACGCCGAGCTCTGATTGGACAGATTAGAGGGTAGACGTAAAGCTAGCTGCCTTTGTCTCCATTACACTTTTCGAATGCGTTCGAATGCGGAAGCGAAACGCCGGGGGTCGGCGTTCCGCGTTCTAGCGCCTCCGACGAGCGCAGTGGAGGCGAAGGCTGAGCCGACGTCCACCTAAGCCTAATATTGTCAAAACCCGAAATGACATTCTGTGCGCCTGTGGCATCTATTTCAGTTGGGAAAAAAACTAAACTTGTCAGCAAGAAAGAAAACAATATTATCTTTCTTGTTGACTAGGGTTTCTCGCTGATATTATTCCCACAAACGTCCACAATGTCACATTCTTTGACAATATCAAGCTTAGATGAATGTCGGCGCATAAAAAGAAATATCGTGTTTTTTAGTTATCTTTTGATCCAGGCAACACCATGTTGTCAAACTTCCGTATTCGATTCGAACCGCTAGTCTTGAATTCTCACGCAGTTGGAGTTTTTTGAGAAACATAGTTTATTTACCCTGGGCAAAAAACACGGTTCTCTTTTCTCGAGAAACCCCCCCCCCCCCCCCCCCTTTTCCTCCCAGTATATATAAATATGGAAGCGTTGTAAGAGAGCCAGCCGCAGCTTAAGATGTCGCCCGGTCCAACACAGCAACCTTCTGACTACAATCACTGCAGGTTCGTCTGAACAGGGGGTAAGTGTGATAACACCAGAAAAATAAAACGCCTACCTGATGAAGCCGGCAGAAATAGCGTAGTCCACCACGTGGTTTCGTGCCAACTTCCGCTTCCGGAGCCAGCGTTCTTCGGGCACAAAGTATACGTGCAGGTCGACCAACTGAAACATAAGATACGGGTAGTCGTATGGAAGTACGTTTGTTTTACGCAAAATTTAAGCCCCTCAAAAACCCACTAAGCTCCTACTGCATAATATTTTAGTTTTATGTGTGTTTAAGTTCGACAGAGATCCAAGCAATAAACGGCAGTTTATTTTCCTCCAGTTTGTGACACCCAAATAAACGCAGATGTGGCTCATTGTTTGCGCTTTTTGCTTTAAGGTTACGTCTTCTTCGGCCTTTTTTTTTGGGGGTCGGCAAAACCTCACAATTTAATTGGATGTGGAGCGGCAAGGACAGTTTCGACATTTACCACACACTGCGTTTCTTAATTCGTCGATGGCTGTAACATAAAATCGGCGTTATTCGGTGCTTACTCTGGGCGGAGAAACCATTACGTCATGAAACAAACAACTGTGTACGAAATGAAAAAAAAAATAAAAGCAGCAGAAACATAAAACATGACCTCCGATTTCGGCAAATGGCGTATCTTGAGAAATCTAGTCAGTGACAGCTAAAAAAATAAAACGCAGGGCGTAGCTTAGTGTGTGGCTGGTTCCTCGGCGTTTTTATCAACCGATGCCGCAATCTTATTGGCTGCAGAGGGATAATAAAATGCACAATATTCTCCACACCCAGCGCTTCTTGAATTGTCGGTGTCAACAGCGTTACAAAGACCGGTGCTTACAATAATGCAAACCTTGTGGTATTTTCATAAAGCAAACCCAATATTAAATTTCAAATTAGGGCTAAAATGTCGACCGGGTTTTTTTTTTTTAGTAATATTATGTTCATTCAGACGATCTGTAAAAATGAGACGCACAATCACCGATAATTATTATGAATTAAAACGAAACTCAATACCTCAACGTATTACCTCGGGTTGGGAGCCAGTTCAAGTTATCACAAAACTTAAAGTATACCTTGAAGCCTCACATATCAGCTCCCGTCATAAAAACACGCGAGCCAAAATAAGTCATAAATTGAATAAGTAAATATTTAAGGTGAAAACTTACGTCAGACGACCTCACTGCATCTTCGCAAACAAAAGAGTTGGAAATGAGTAATTTCCAGGCTACATACAGTTTCTCAGAGAACGCGCGTCATATAAATAATTGTAGCTCTCGTTCTACAAAACACCGGCAAGCGCAGGTAACATCGAGCTTGCACAAATTCTGTCCGCCGCAAAAGATGCGTGGACTGTCGCACCCTCTCCTCCAAACTTCCCTAGCGCCACCGCCAGGACGTTACGTCATCGTAGGAAGTTCGTCACACCACCGTTACTGCACAACTTACTATGCATAAACACGCTAGCGTCACAAACGTTGAATTAATGCCGAACCATTCCCACGCAGAACCGGTGATTCGACAACTCAGGAGGTAGCTTTGCATACATTCTACCGAAGTCGTGGATTAACCCCACCCTCCACGACATAACAGAGGTGCCGTAAGAAACGGGTTCTTTCGCCTAATAATGAGATGCAAATGAGCTGACCTAAATCTAAAAGGCATGACCCGTGACTCCGCAATTACCCTATCAAGGTCCCCTTATCTTCGCGTGCCCGCATACCAGCGGACCTTTCGCTTCCCTCAACAAAACAAAGTAATTAGGCAAAAAAAAAAAAAAAACGTGACCGCTGACAAGAACACGTCAAAAGAGAGTACAAGTAAAACGCAAAAACAAAAACTCTCCGAAAATTTGGGACAGGTCAGAACGACTATTCGTAACACGTGTCCGCCATGGGGACGCGTAGGTGTGTCCCAACGACCTAGATTCTGAGGGCTCAAGGTCTTCAGCCCGCCCAACTACACCAAAAGAGAGCGTTCCTATACGGTAGGCAAATCCGTACGCCTACCACCGCCTCGATTCGGTCAGACACTACTGACATCCGAACTTGGGAGGCGGTGATAGGCCTCGTCATTTGGACAAGTCGAACCATTCCGGCTACAAAGACAGGACGACAATGTATCTTCGGTTAATCTAGATGCAAATGCAGACCATGTGGGACACTTAAACGAATGAGGCCAACTCCCCGCCAATGACTCATTAAAGCGAACGAGTCGGTGACGAGTTACGAGGAAAATAGTGTTAATGACTGTAGGGCAACAACCTCATGCTAATCACATTACTATAATCACTGCTAAATTGAGAACGGCAGGGCTTGTCTTTCGAGCGCCCTGCCTCTAGCACGCGCTCTGTCTCTTCCGCTGTCCTTTGCCCGCGCGCGCGCTTTCGAGGTGCACGTGGCGCCAAAGCATTGTCGTAGGTGTTAAGCTCGCGCGGGAAGCGGGGCATCTTAAGCTTCTTTCTGCCGTTCTAACCTCGTCAGTTACTAAGCAGGTGTGTCGTTAATAGGATATGATGTGACCGAGATTACATAGTTTTGGCATTAGTTCCAGATGGTGCAGTAAGTACATTGCACCAAAATGTAAAAAGTCAAAGGATGTCTTACAGCTAGGCCCTTATCAGAAAGGAAATGTTTAGCAAGGTAAAGATGGTCATGTGCTAGATTCATTATTCAGTTCTCAAATTAGTTGACTTTCAACCGATAATAGAATATCATTAGCAGATCGTACATCTTCCGCAGCCTGAACAGTGAAAAAGTGTCATCCAAGGACCAATAATTTTGAACAACAAGCGTTCTCGCTGAAAACCTAGATGCCAAAAACACAAAAGAAAAACGAGCTGTTGTCGTAAATACGGCTACTGTTGTTTGCGACTGAAAAGAAAAAAACAAAAAAAAAGACTAAGCTCATTGCTCAATGGCGCTTCAGAAGGAAAAACCTTTAAAGGTGCACAGTATATAAAACAAAGATTTCGATTGAGCACCGAAACTATCTCATCAATCTCCCGTTCCAGTCAGAAGCAATGACAAGAGCTAACATGAAAGATCAATCGAGCATGCAAACAACATTACCACGCCGAAGAGTCGTGCTAGGCCTAACAACGGTTGCGACCTACCTGCTCCGACGGCGGGCGGCGTTGCACGCTGCTCCGTCGGGGTTCTTCACTGACCTGGTCCATGACTTGTTGACACGACGACAGCAGCACACCCGCACACAACACACAAACACAATCAAGATCCTACCATGATGTATCTCCGATAACCCAATCAGTCAAAGAAGGTTACGTGACAACCTCCAAGGAAGCGTCAACGTTTCGGTGTCGGCGAAAACGAAAAAAACAAAAATAGCAGACGACTCTGTTTGAAGAAAGGGGCCGCAGCGATGTCGATGGGGGGAGCGCGCGAAGTGCGAGTTGCGAGTTGGCCAATGCCGCCGCGGTCGATGGTTTGGGGCTCGCGTTGCCCGTTGCCTTGGTGACGACCGGACGCTGTACGTGACTTGATGTGGAAGGCCACAGGGTGTGCGGCCCGCTGTTGACCGGTGTCTAATGGGAAAAGTGTGACTCTCCCTTCGTTACGGTCTCATCCAAAAGAAAAACAAAAAAAGGTGGGCTTTTAAGTTTTACGCAACTGGCTGTGCGTTCGTGCGGTTACCCGGCTGGGTTTTTTCCGGGTTTAAGAGAGTTCGTGGAAGTCTCTAGCGATCAGTGTTCAACATTGGGCAAACATACGTATGCTTCGCGTATTCTGGGTTAGTTTTGGGAGCTGTGTGAGTGATCACCGCGCTGACGTGAGCGCAGTAATTGCTGGTAGAGAAAAAAAAAAGAATGAGGTCATGTCGGTGTTTCGCGTTCAAGCATGTCTGCATTCAGAATTTTTCCATCGTGCTGGTTTCGCAGCTTGGATGTGATCAGGTTTTAAGAAGTTAGCAGGCACCTCTTTTACCGATCGCAAGCAACCGCGCAGTCTGCCAAGTCTAACTTTTTAAAGTCAAGCTTTTTTTTATGGCTGTGATGATGCATTGCAGCTGCATTTGCTTTGCTCAGTAAACTTATGAGCAGCAAAAATGAGCACGCCGACGGTTTACGAGCATGCGAAACGGTTCACGGCAGTGTATTATAAATGTCTATGTTCTATGCATAAATTAAAACAGTATTATTTCAACGTTTTTTCTCAAAGCGAGCTCGCACGGACGGCAAATGTCAGCGATAATTCACAAGCTGAACTTTCCTTGTCCAAAACGTATCGCTAGCAAACAGTAAAAAATAACGTGCATTGTTTACAATACGCGCTAGACGTAGCAAAGTCGAAAATGAAGTGGATTGTTTACAAGACGCGCAAAGCAGCATGTCATTACAATAGCTGTGGTAACCAGTACATTTTTATTACTAAAAGTTTGCATTTTGAGCGCAAAATGTCAGTCAAAATGCATAGTTTTGTCCGTCCCGCAGACACGACTGGCGCCTTTTTTTCCCTTGCAATTTTGGTTCGTGCTTTTAGTAATTACTTCAAATTTCACCCCGCACTCGTTGTCTTCTGTTGGACCATGGACTCCTCTATACTGACAAAGCCTGGCAGTTCGACGACGCAGCCATAGGGTGCCCGTTTACAGATTTGGAGGGCGAGAATCCGGTAGCACAGAGCATGAAAGGGCCTCTTCTTGAGGAACCTGGACGTCGGCGCGCAGCTTTTGCAGCGGCGAGGACCCTAAACACACTTATTCGCTCGGGAGAAGTGTGTTTCGGCGTCTCGCCGCAGCAGGGCGCCTGTCACGTGGCCCTCCTCTCATCTGTTGTCTGCCGCTCCACCTTTTTTCATTTCGGCGGCCGCTTTTCGTAGCGATCTGCCAGGCTTTTCAGTATATAGGAGGCTATGGTTGGGCCCTGGCTGTGCATGCTACGAAGTGTTTGTTACCAAAGGCAGAGAGAGAGCTCGCGCTCGAAGAACACCATCTTAAAGTTTACGAATTCGCAGTCCAGCACGCGCGCGTCCGTCGCTTTGGAAAGCGAGCAAATCACGTGCCATACACACTAACGCCCAAAATGACACCGGCCACAAGCGCGCTCTTTAAATATTCTACAAAGTTACTTCACTTACATAAGTTCCTTGGCTTTGCTTAGGATAGGGTGTTAACATTAAAAATTTTTGTCTGGACGCCTTTTTTTTTTCCTGTTTTTTTTTCATTGAGGAGTGCATCAAAAAATGTCTCCCGGCACGAGATTTTGACCTTGGCTGAACTACAGCGGCATCTTGTCACCGGATATTTCTTTGCATTTCTCCTGAGCGCGTGCCGTCTGCATCGAGTACTACAAAGAGAGCCACTTCCCTTAAAGGGGCCATGAAACGAATTTTGGGTTGGGATGAATGATTTTAAATTGGGACTTTACTAATCGCATATCGTTTAGTTGGCCAAAAGAAAGAGGCTAGAAAGTCAAAAGCCAGCTTTTCGGTACGAACATTTGAAAGTATAGCGGACTATTTTGTACCTTCTTGCCTTCGAAAGCTCTCCGCCTTTTCACTGTGATACATCCACGGTTCCAAAAGCGCGTCACCGGCGCCAAACTGACGTCAGCAGAACCCAGCTCACGCATTGGACACGAAAACTGCGTCACTCGGAGGTATGCGCTCGTCAACCATCAATCCGTCGACGAATATTTGGATTCGCGTTCGTGGTCAATGAGTGCCCTGACGGAACTTATTGTCACTGGGGAATGACAAGTTCTATGGTGTGCAGCACCGGTGCCGAAGGAATGTCACGACCACGTGATTTCACAATTCGTATTTGAGTTGAGGATTGAAGCTAAGGTGGAAGAAGTAGGAAAATTGTTTCATGACCCCTTTAACTAAGGGAAATTGAACTTGTACAGCTGTAAACACTTGAATGGTACTATTTTAGTAAACCTTTCCGGAAAATCAAAGAAGACCTCGCGGCAATACCATCCTGCATTACTCAGCGGGGGAAGTTCAGGGGACGTTCCGATGAACGCTCGTGCCGACTGGGATGTTTCGTATGTCCTGGAAGTGGCACCGTTTGTTTTCTCTTATCATTGAGGTCTCGTATCGTACGAAAAAAAAATCGAACGCAGAACGATGTCATCAGATTATCTGCTCGCTTTCCTTCTTAGTCATCTGCGTTCTGGGATTACAGATTGATATATACTCACAAAGTCTGGCAGTTCGACGGCGGAGCCATAGTGTGTCCGATCGCAGAATTGAAGCGCGAGGATCTGGTAGCACAAAGCATTGATCGGGGAACCTGAACGTCACCGCACAGCTTCTGCAGCGGCAAGGACCCGAAACATGGTTTTCAAACCCGTCGAGAAAAGAAGCAATAGCGCGAGGAACGCGGAGCACGAGCGGACATTCCAGCCGTCGGGAGAAGTGTGTTTCGGCGTCTCGCCGCAGCGGGGCGCCCTTTGCATGCCGCTCCTCTCATCCGTTGTTTGCCGCTCCACCTTTCCACTTTCGGCGGCCGCTTCTCGTGGCGATCTGCCAGTCTTTATTGGTATAAAGGGGGCTATGGATAAACCCACGCTAACTTCGTTTTCTACACCTAGATAATGTCACGTGCTCTATATCGTGACGTCACAATGCGCCAAGCGGACAGTGAGGGCGTCACATATCTCCAGAAAGGTCTAGAGAGCCTCTATTACAGGGAGACTTCAACTGCTTAATCGAGGTCACCTGGTTTATAGGCCGCGTTTGCAATACGAGCTGCGAGGAGGTGAGGAACGAATTGGCCGTCTGCAAACGTCCCCGCCTTTGCATCCGCTTTCCTCCTCGCCGGGCGAAAACGCAGCGCATGCACACTTGCCGACCGATCGTCGCAGGAAGTGTCTGCCATTAAATTGCAAGGGCTCCCTATGGTTTCGGATGGACCCTCTCTTCAATCTAGGCTCTCTAGCAAGGTATATTCGAACAGGAGCAAAGCCCGTCAGTTGTAACACTTTCTATTCAAAAACCGTTTTTTTTTTGTTTTTTTTTTTTGCTTAATGTAAATTCGTAAAACAGGAAGCGGCTTGCAAGCCTACAATATTGTGCGGTGGACGCTTTGCCGTGTTTCGTGACAAAATGGTGCGTAGCACAGGCAACTATGACGCCTTATGTGTGTAAAGATTTAATTGACGGTTGGCGATAACGCGCTCCAAGTAACGACGTTACCGGAACCACGTTACTATTTTCTGTAACGTCGTAACGTACTCGTTACTTTTCCAAGACAGTAACGGGTAACAACGTTACTTACTTCAAGTGACGGGTAACGTAGTTACGTTACTCGTTACACCTTCCAAATACCTGAAAAAGTACCCTTCATTTCTCTTTTTGTATGGTTTTATACTTTGTTTCAGCTTAAGTCCAGACTCAGCCGGCTCTACAAGCTGATGGGACTAATCAGATGGAGTCAGTAGGGCGCCATCTTGGTGTTGGTCATGTTTCTCTGCGTGTTTTATTGTCCCTGAACCAATTATAAACAAAAAAAAGGCCAAGTGACTTGCGCTTTTGATGCTGTTTGGTCGCGTCCATTTCCTCGTAGCGTTGGCTGCATCTGGACCTAAGCTTAAGCGAAGTGTTGGCGCCAACTCATTAATTATTGCACTCATTCTACACGCCTTCGATATTTTGCCCGTATTTTCCCTACGTATTTTCCCACCGTCCACGCAAAAAATCCCAGTTTATGACGCCTGTGACACAGCAACTACGCAATCAAAAAATCGGGAGGTCACATTTTCGTCTACCTTTCATCAATCATTTTAATTCGATCAAGCCGCACAGGTTCTTGGGCCCTCGGGTAGAAGAAGCAACTGCTTGTCTCGAGCTCGCCGCATGTCTTCGACTCTCCAAGTTTAGCTCTCAATGACCTTTTTTCCAGACCTCGCACTCCTGCCGGCAAAAAGCGCTGCGAAGGGAAAAAATGAAATACGTTACTAAGGTGTATCCGAAAAATGTTTGCGTCAAGAATAACTACTGAGACCAATCTAGCAACATAAATAAATGACAACTGATTTCAGACGACTAATACTGAGGATGTTGTGTTCTTGTACAAGGTATTGTATTACATTCTAACAACGAAAAAACAGTGAGTGTGCAGGCGAGTTGTTGATAGCTGATCATAATTACGGTTCCGTGTTTTAGATAAACACCAATAAACCATTCAAATTAACTCCCAAGTAGGTCTTATCTA